ATAGCAATAGCACTTAGACTTATATACCGCTTCACAGTGCTTTACAGCCCTCTCTAAGCGGCTTAGAGAGTCAGCCTATGACCCCCAACAATCTGGATCCTCATTTTACCATCTCAGAAGAATGGAAGGCTGAGTCAATCTTGAGCCAGTCAGGATCGAACTGCTGGCAGTTGGCAGAATTAGCTTGCAATACCACATTCTAACCACTGCGCCACCATGAGAAGGAAGGAAGGAAGGAAGGAAGGAAGGAAGGAAGGAAGGAAGGAAGGAAGGAAGGAAGGAAGTAGAAAAGGGAGGGAGAAAAGGAAGGAGGAAGGGAAGGAGAAAAGGGAGGGAAAGAAGGAAAGGAAGGAAGCAATAGCAATAGCACTTAGACTTATATACCACTTCACAGAGCTTTACAGCCCTCTCTAAGCGGCTTAGAAAGTCAGCCTATGGCCCCCAACAATCTGGGTCCTTATTTTACTGACCTCGGAAGGAGGGAAGGCTGAGTCAACCTTGAGCCGGTCAAGATCGAACTGCTGGCGTTGGCAGAATTAGCCTGCAATACTGCACTCTAACCACTGCGCCACCACAGGCCTTAACACAGTGTGACAGGATTTTTATTTATTTATTTTTGCTCGAGGTTCATCAGCACCTGGGTTGAGGACCACCCTGGGGGGGGGGGAGGGAGAAGCCCGATCTAGTGAACTTCCTGTGAATGGGAAGTGTGAAGTAATATAAGAGCACATCAGGAAGTGGTCCAGAATCCCCATTGTGTCTATGACCAGAGTAGGCCAATTCGGGCCTCTGCTTTCTTGGACTTTGATTATTCTTTTTTGGACAGGGTTTATTTTCTCTTTCCGAAAAAAGAAAGCAGTTTATTTTTACTATCGAGCACTCGGCTGCCTCAGATTAAGCCAAGGTGCACAAAATTCCACGTCAAAACTGAGATGCTGCCTTAACTTGGAATGTTGGTTTTAAGTATTGGATCGTAGCTTCCTTGTGGCAAAAATGGAGAACTCTGGTGTTCCTGAATCCACACAAGGATGCTAGTTGGGGATTTTTGGGAGTTAAAGTCCACTCATCTTAAAGTGTTACCTGTAGTGTGTTCTGGATGGCATTCAGAGGGATGAGGAAAAACTTTATTTTGCTTGCCCCTTTTTCGTGATTTTTTTTAAAAAAACTACTTTTCCCAGTAGCTTAGTACGATACGTTTTAAGACTCACTGTGGGTCTATTAAAGTTCTCCCTATCGTGTCAAGGGCTGAGAGGGTAAGCAAGAGGAGTAAAATAAATAACTATCCCACCAAGAATAAGAGCAGAAGGACTCCGGGTTGTGCGTAACACTAAGCAATGGAGGGGAAAAGGGAACTTGGTTGTAAATCTCTTGTAGCGAGAAGCCCGGAAGAGGGAGATGGAAAAAGAGCTTCCCAGCCAGAAAATTCTGCCAGCTGCAGCTGGGAAGCGCTTCTTGTGAATATCATCAAAAAAAAATAAAACAAAACCAAGTTAAGATAAGTTCGGCTCCATGCTGGTTTACAGGGAGAGCAATGATCTTTTGTGGTCTGCAGAGATTTATTAAGAGTGGGAAGCCCTCATCTCCAGTAAGAAGATAGTTTTTGAGGCATTGCTTGAGGAACATCTGCAGGGGATGGTCAAGCTCCCGCTGTGGGATTTCCAAGTGGTCTCCTATCCTCCCATCCTCCTTAGCATTGGAGATCAGACAAGGTTGATTCAAGACTGCCACCTTCTGTTGATCGAAGGAACAGGCGAGGTTACAAATGTAATCTCCGTTCATTTTATTTTATTTTTTTTTGTAACATATTTCATTGATTTTTTAAAAAAACATAAATCACTTAATAATTGGTGAACAGTGTGTTGTCTGGGTTACCTTTGTAAAACAATCACTAACAATTGGTTTCTATAATCCATAATCCACGTAGTAGTATTAGTTGATTTCCTCTTTTCCCAAAATATCTTCTTTTGCAAACCTTGAGTTAATACAATTCTTATCGTTTTGATAGATAGCAATTAAATATATAATTTAGGGCCTCTTCCTATCACTGTGTGTCCCAAAGATGCTTTTTCAAGAGGCAACTGGACTTCGTTTGTTTTGCCTTGAGGATGTTTTGCATCTCATCCAAGAAGCTCCTTCGGTTCTGAGTGAATGGTGGAGAAGGGAAATGAAGAAGAACCGAAGAAGCTTCTTAGATGAGAAGCGAAATGTCTTCAAAGAAAAATAAAGGAAGTTCAGTTGCCTTTTGAAAAAGCACCTTTGGGACAAACGTGACCTGGAGGACGGAGAATCACCAGAGATCCCTGTCATTATGATTATTTTGATAGCGGAAGTCCTCGACTTACAAGCATTTGTTTAGCGACCATTCAAAGTTACAACAGCGTGGGAAAAAAAGTGATATCCAATCAGTACTCACATGTACAACCACTGCAGCATCCCCATGGTCATGTGATCAAAATGTGGGCGCCACTGGCATGTTATTCACAATGGTGGCAGCGTCCGGGCTCACGTGATTCTTGGAATGTTGTCGTGCACTCGGTCTTACAAACAATGGGCAGACTGTTTGCTCCCTTTCTCGTTGTGAATCAGCCCTGAGTGCAGTTTCTTTGAGCATGACAGGATTAGCTCAGTGAGACACGTTAAATAGCCTTTGAGGAAATATAATATTCTGCCCTTTTAATATTTCTTTCTCTGGGGGGCTGACTTCCAACAGGCCATTCTTGGAGGATTTCAAGCAAGGTTGGGCAGCTATTTGTCTGGAATAGTATAGGGTTCCTCCTTGGATGGGGGGGGGGCTGGACTAGAAGACCTCAAGGTCCCTTCAAGCCCTATGATTCTAGGATTCTTTTGGCCTGCCAAGACCACAGGCAATGGACCAGCTGTGTGGCGGTTATAGCAAAGGCTGAACTTTTTGGCTGTTTCTTTTTTCCATTTTGGGGAGTCAGGCAGAGGGAAGTAAAGCAAAACAGATGGAGCTGTAAGATTCCTATTATCTATTTCTAAAGCCCCAAATTGGGCTGTCAACATTCGTTGTCTGCCAAATTTCATCAGCGCAATCTTGGTGGGATGCTGGGTCAAGTAAATTCGGGAGGGGAGGCCTTCCCGGTCCCCAAGAGTGGTGTGAGAAGGGGATATTTTGTTTATTACTTTTTAAGCAATAATAATTGCTTCATAAGCAATAATAATAAGCAATAATAATTGCTTTATAAGCAATTCAAAGCAGCAAACGTAAAACTCCTTTCTCGTATTTTACTCACAACAACAACCCTATAAGTTGGGTTAGGCCAGGGGTAGGCAACCTTGGCTCTTTTATGACTCATGGACTTCAACTCCCACAATTCCTGAGCATAGTTGGCTCAGGAATTCTGGGAGTTGAAGTCCACGAGTCATAAAAGAGCCAAAGTTGCCTACCCCTAGGTTAGACTGAGAGTGTGACTGGACCAAAGTCATCAAGCAGGCTGTCATGCCTAAGATGGAACTACAACTCACCATCTCCTGGTGATTGGCTTAAAGCAGGGGTGTCAAACTGCCAGCCCGCGGGCCGGACGCATCATGCGAAAGCCGCGCCCACCCCATTGCCGGCAATGGCAAAACTGTCCTGATACGTTGCACGATGTCACGGGTTTGACATGTCTGACTTAAAGTCACCCAGTGGGCTTTCATGCTTAAGAAAGAACCAGAACTCACCGTCTCCTGGTGATTGGCTTAAGGTTACCCAGTTGGCTTTTATGCTTAAGATGGAACTAGAACTCACAGTCTCCTGGTGATTGGCTTAAAGTCACCCAGTTGGCTTTCATGCTTAAGATGGAACTAGAACTCACAGTCTCCTGGTGATTGGCTTAAAGTCACCCAGTTGGCTTTCATGCTTAAGATGGAACTAGAACTCACTGTCTCCTGGTGATTGGCTTTAAGGCACCCAGTGGGCTTTCATGCCTAAGATGGAACTAGAACTCACAGTCTCCTGGTGATTGGCTTAAAGCAGTGGTTCTCAACCTGTGGGTCGGGACCCCATTTGGGGTCGAATGACCATTTCACGGGGGTCGCCAAACCACGCTGTCCGCCATTTTTTTCCCTTTTCCCTAGCTGTCCTACTCCCTCTTATTGATGGCCACACACCCACTTGGGGGTCACCACAACATGGGGAACTGTATTATGGGGTCACGGTATTAGAAAGGTTGAGAACCACTGGCTTAAAGTCACCCAGTTGGCTTTCACGCTTAAGATGGAACTAGAACTCACCATCTGCTGATTGGCTTAAAGTCACCCAATTGGCTTTCATACTTAAGATGGAACTAGAATTCACTGTCTCCTGGTGATTGGCTTAAACTCACCCAGTTGGCTTTCATGTCTAAGATGGAACTAGAACTCACAGTCTCCTGGAGATTGGCTTAAAGTCACCCAGCTGGCTTTCCCGCTTAAGATGGAACTAGAACTCACCATCTGCTGATTGGCTTAAAGTCACCCAATTGGCTTTCATGCTTAAGATGGAACTAGAACTCACTGTCTCCTGGTGACTGGCTTAAAGTCAACCAGATTCATGCCAAAGGTGGAAACAACAACACTGAAGAAAGTGATGTATGGCCAATTTTCACACTTACGACTGTCGTAGCACCTCGACGGTCACATGATCCAAATTCAGGTACCTGGCAGTGTCTCTGGGTCATGTGATCACCCTTTGCAACCTTCCCAGCCGGCTTCCCACAAGCAAAGTCAGTGGGGGGAGCTTGACTTGCTTAATGACCGCATGATTCATTTAACAACTGCAGCGATTCGCTTAACTGCTGTGGCAAAAAGCTCGTAAAAATGGGGCAAAAGCCATTTATACCAACTGCCTCATTTAGCAACTGAAATTTTGGACTGAATTGCAGTTGTAAGCCGAGGACGACCTATAACAGGCTCCACATCCTGATCAAGTTTGACATTTCCTGTTCTTAAAGTGCCAAAGCTTAAGAATCCTGAGTTGTGTCAAACTGGATGTAACTTTTTCTTCTTTCCCTCGACAGATCACCCAGCTGAAGATAGAGAATAACCCGTTTGCCAAAGGCTTTCGAGGGAGCGACGACACCGATCTCCGCGTGGCAAGATTACAAAGGTGGGATAAAAGGGAAATTTTGAAAAAAGCAAGGTTCTTCATTTAGGCAAGAAAAACCAAATGCACAAGTACAGCATAGGTGGCACCATGCTCAATAGTAGTAACTGTGAGAGGGACCTCGGAGTCCTAGTAGACAATCACCTAAATATGAGCCAGCAGTGTGCTGCAGCTACCAAAAAGGCCAACACGGTGCTAGGCTGCATTAACAGAGGGATAGAATCAAGATCACGTGAAGTATTAATACCACTCTTCAATGCCTTGGTAAGGCCACACTTGGAATACTGCATCCAGTTTTGGTCACCACGATGTAAAAAAGATGTTGAGACTCTAGAAAGAGTACAGAGAAGAGCAACAAAGATGATTAGGGGACTGGAGGCTAAAACATATAAGGAACGTTTGCTAGAATTGGGTATGTCTAGTTTAACAAAGAGAAGGACAAGGGGGGACATGATAGCAGTATTCCAATATCTCAGGGGCTGCCATAAAGAAGAGGGAATTAAGCTATTTTCCAAAGCACCTGAAGGCATGACAAGAAGCAACGGGTGGAAACTAATCAAGGAGAGAAGCAACCTAGAACTAAGGAGAAACTTCCTGACAGTGAGAACAATTAATCAGTGGAACAGCCTGCCTCCAGAAGCAGTAAATGCTCCAACACTGGAAGTTTTTAAGAAGAGAGTGGACAGCCATTTGTCCGAAATGGTGTAGGGTTTCCTGCCTGAGCAGGGGGTTGGACTAGATGACCTCCAAGATCCCTTCCAACTTTACTACTATTACTATTACTAGACATTCCCAATTCCAGCAACCGTTCTTCGTATGTTTTGGCCTCCAGTCCCCTGATCATCTTTGTTGCTCTTCTTTGCACTCTTTCTAGAATCTCAACATTTTTAATAGTGTGGTGACCAAAACTGGTTGCAGTATAATAATAACAATAAGAACAGCAGCAGCAGCAACAACAACAACAACAACAACAATAAAGTTGGAAGGGACATTGGAGGTCATCTAGTCCAACCCCCTGCTGAGGCAGGAAACCCTATACCATTCCAGATAAATGGCTGTCCAGACTCTTCTTAAAAACTTTCAGTGTTGGAGCATTCACCGCTTCTGGAGACAGGTTGTTCCACTGGTTAATTGTTCTCACTGTCAGGAAATTTCTCCTTAGTTCTAGGTTGCTTCTCTCTTTGATTAGTTTCCATCCGTTGCTTCTTGTCCTGCCTTCAGGTGCTTTGGAGAAGAGCTTGACTCCCTCTTCTTTGGGGCAGCCCCTCAGATACTGGAATGCTGCTATCATGTCCCCCCTCGTCCTTCTCTTCATTAAACTAGACAGACCCAATTCCAGCAACTGTTCTTTATATATTTTAGCCTCCAGTCCCCTAATCACCTTTGTTGCTCTTCTCTGCACTTTTTCTAGAGTCTCAACATCTTTTTGATATTGTGGCGCCCAAACTGGATGCCATATTCCAAGTGTGGTATTCTAGGTGTGATCTTACTAAGGCTTTATAGAGTGATAGTAGTACCTCCCATGATCTTGATTGAATCTCTCTGTTAATGCAACTTAGGATTGCCTTGGCTTTTTTGGCTGCCGCTGTTCGGCCCAGAGGCCTCTGACTTCTCTCAACCTGGGAGATTTACTGTCTAAAGCACAGCTCAGTTCTTGAAATTTGGGTGGCCCCAGGCAGAACACCTCACCCTGAATCTGTTTCCCATCTGTATTGCACATGGCATTGATTCATAGTCCACTTCTGCCAAGTCCATATGGGCCTTCGTCCAAGCAGCATGTTGCATACTGCAGAACTTTGCACACTGTAAAGCATTTGGCCCTTGGGAAGGACTGAGGCCACAGATGCTTTGCAAAGAAAGCTGAGGGTGCAAATGGACAACATAAGATACCAGGGATATAGGCTACAGGACAGTGGTCCCCAACTTTTGCAGTTTGGCAGCCCGGCGGGGGGGGGGAAGAGGGGAATTGGGCTGCATGAGCGATAGCCAGGTGTGCAGCTCGACTTGCGTGAGCGGCAGGCCGACGCGCATGTGCCTGCACAGGCAGCTCTACTGCAAGCGGAGCTGCGTGCACACGCGCATAAACAGCGGCCCATCGCTTGCACGAGTTGAGCTGCGCGTGCACATGTGTGCGGTGGCCCGTGGTCCGGTTGTGAATTGGCTGTGGCCCGGGGGTTGGGGACCCCTGTGGTAGGAGATGACAGTAGGAGAGAGGATTTAATCAAGGAGAGAAGCAACCTAGAACTAAGAAGAAATTCCTGATAGTTAGAACAATTGACCAGTGGAACAACCTGCCTCCAGAAGCTGTGAATGCTCCAACACTGGAAGCTTTTAAGAAGAGACTGGACAGCCATTTGTCTGAAATGGTATAGGGTTTCCTGCCCGAGCAGGGGGGTGGACTAGAAGACCTCCAAGGTCCCTTCCAACTCTGCTATTCTATTCTATTCTATTCTATTCTATTCTATTCTATTCTATTCTATTCTATTCTATTCTATTCTATTCTATTCTCAATAAAGATTCTGTTCTGTTCTATTCTATTCTCAATAAAGGTTCTATTCTATTCTACTCTGTTCTATTCTGTTCTATTCTTAATAAAGATTCTATTCTATTCTATTCTATTCTATTCTATTCTATTCTATTCTATTCTATTCTATTCTATTCTGCTTTCCCAGTCAGTTCTTTGCACATACCACGTGGTATTCTACTGCTACATCTAGTAAATTTTGAAAGTAACTACAAAGTTACAGATTCCCAAATAAGAATCTATTTATTTCACCACTGTCCCCTATAAAGTAGTCCTTGACTTACAACCATATAAGACCTAACTGGAAAATAAACCCTAATGCGTCTTTTCGAGCAAAAATTAATACAAGACCCGGTCTAATTTTTGGGAAAATACAGTTTGTAGGTCAGAGGCTTTTGCACCAAACAATGTAATGAGTCCATTGCATCAAATATTTCTCGAATTTCCACAGCTAGAACGTAGAACACAGAGTAATACAGTTGGAAGGGACCTTAGAGGTCTTCTAGTCCAACCCCCTATTCGAGCAGGAAACCTTATACAAGTATTCATTAGAGCACGCTTGTTAAATGAATGTGGCTTTCCCCCATTGACTTTGCTGGTCAGAAGGTCACAAAACAGGATCACGTGACCTTGGGACACTGCAACCGTCGTAAATATGAGTCCGTTGCCGAGCGTCTGAATGAACTGTGGCATGAAAGGTTGTAAAAGGAGTCCCAAAGGTGCTTTTCCAAGAGGTAACTGGACTTCCTTGTTTTTCCTTTGAAGACATTTCGCTTCTCCTCCCAGAAGCTTCTTCAGCTCTGACTGGATGGTGGGGAATGGAAGTATTTATACTCCTTGCAGACAGCCGGTCATTTGCACTCTTTCAGAGAGTCGTTGAGGCCATTTGGAGCTATCTGCAAAGAGTATAAATATTTTCTCTCTTCTTTTTTTGTACATTTTTATTGATTTTCTAATATTACCTTTAACTATTTGAAAGCAACGTGGTGGCTGGGTACAATAATTCTGTTACACATAAATATCACTGGTACAGATCTCAAACTGTTACAATCCCCATTCCTTCTCTTTCGCCCTTAATATCTACTGTTTCGTATCTTAACGAATACAATTCTTGTTCTGTCCATCAGACAGAAAGTAACTTTCTAACATTTATCAATCATTTTTAGTTAATATGTACCTTAGTTCAGTGATGGCGAACCTTTTAGAGACCGAGTGCCCAAACTGCAACCCAACACCCACTTATTTATCGCCCGGTGTCAGGTGGGCATGGCCCCTGGGTGGGCGTGGCTGTGGTGGTCATGGCAGATTGGGTGGGTGTGGCCAAGGTAGGCGTAATCACCTCAATGTTGCTCGTGGGAGGGACACCTGTGGAGGCTGGGCAGGGTTGGGGGAGGTCCAGGGGGTCTCTGGCAGGTGGGGCAGTGGGCAGGAGGCTCGTCCTGCAGGGAGAGGCAAGGCAACGTGAGGCAGGGCGGGGGTGCTATTGTCACAGGGCAAGGCGAGGCAGGGGCCGGGCGGCCACTGCCTGACACCATCGGCCCCTGCACATTCCAGATGTTGGCTTTTCTCAAATGCAAAGTCTGCCAAAATTAATGCATCCACTTTTTTTTCCTTTGACTCCATGAATTAAGTTTCCTTTATATAAAAAAATAAAATAACAAAAAGGCCCAGCATATTTTAACATGAGATTTACAGATAGTCCTCAATTTACTAGTCTAAAGAAAAGAAGAAACGGGTGACAGGATAGCAATATTCCAATATCTGAGGGGCTGCCAGAAAGAAGAAGGTGTCAAACTATTCTCCAAAGCACCAGAGGGCAGGACAAGAAACAATGGTTGGAAACTGATCAGGAAAGAAGTAACCTGGAATTAAGGAGAATGTTCCTAACAGTGAGGACAATTAATCAGTGGAACAGCTTGCCCCCAGAAATCGTGGACACTCTATCACTGGAGATTTTTAAGAAGAAACTGGACAGTCACTTGTCTGAAACAGTATAGATTCTCCTGCTCAAGCAGGGGCTGGACTAGAAGACCTCCAAGGTCCCTCCCAGCTTCTATTCTATTCTGTTCTGTTCTAATTCTATTCTATTCTATTCTCAATAAAGATTCTATTCTATTCTATTCTATTCTCAGTAAAGATTCTATTCTATTCTATTCTCAATAAAGGTTCTATTCTATTCTATTCTAAATAAAAATTCTATTCTATTCTATTCTATTCTCAATAAAGATTCTATTCTATTCTATTCTATTCTAAATAAAAATTCTATTCTATTCTATTCTATTCTAAATAAAAATTCTATTCTATTCTATTCTATTCTCAATAAAGATTCTATTCTATTCTATTTTCTATTCTATTCTATTCTATTCTATTCTATTCTATTCTATTCTATTCTATTCTATTCTATTCTATTCTATTCTATTCTATTCTATTCTAAATAGAATAGGTGCTGGGATGCATCCAGCCATGTGGGACCTTGGCAAGTTAGCAGGCGGCTGGTTGAAGAGGGACAGTTGCCATCTCCAGGGCATGGCGCACGTGCCCACAAAGAGGGCTCTGAGTGCCGCCTCTGGCACGCATGCCATAGGTTCGCCACCACTGCCTTAGTTGTTTTAACTTTCAGTCTTTAGACAATCAATGACCTAATCCATTTTTCTCAATTTTAGTTTTCTGTTAATATTTAAATTTAACGTTTAATGATGATCATTTCCACACTTTAGATGACCCCAGTTCCTTTATCATCATTCTTCCCAAAGTCTAATATTCCAGATACACATCTTATCTACATAAGTTCTCACCATCTACATCAACAAGTTAATAATGCAATAATAGTATAGAACGGTGGTTCTCGACCTGTGGGTCGGGACCCCATTTGGGGTCGAACGACCATTTCACGGGGGTCACCAAACAACGCAGTCTGCCATTTTTCCCCCCTTTTCCTTGGCTGTGCTACTCACTTTTATTCTATTGGCTTTTGAAAGCCAATAGAATAGACTCTCCTGAATAGAGTCTAATTCTATTGGCTTTCAAAAGCCAATAGGAATTGTCCAGGATGTCTCTGCCCTGCTGAGCCCGCCAAAAGTCCCATTCTGCAAATGGTGCTGCACCAGTTGAGTAGTCCTCGACTTACGACCGATTGAGTAGTCCTCGACTTACAATCGGTTGGAGGTCGCAGCATTAAAAAGGTTGAGAACCACTGGTATAGAAGAAATTTTGGTTATTAACTTTAAGATTTTAAGGAGAATTATTAGAGTAGAAACACTTCCATTCCCCACCATCCAGTCAGAACCGAAGAAGCTTCTGGGATGAGAAGCGAAACGTCTTCCAAGAAAAACCAGAAAGTCCAGTGGCCTCCTGAAAAAAGCCCCTTTGGGACAACCACGACCTGGATGACGTTGTAAAAGGGGGCAAAACTCACTTAACCACCGTCTTGCTTAGCAACCAAAATTTGAGGATCAATCATGGTCGTACGTTGAAGTCTACCTGTAATCCAATTAACCGCTGTGGAGATTCTCAGTCGTCCAGGTCACAGTTACCTCAAAAGTGCTTTTTCAAAAGGCAGCTGGACTGTTCTTTTCTCTTGAGGAAGAAGAACGAAACGTTTTGTTTCTCAGCCAAGGGAAAACTTCATCCCTTTTCTACTAACCTTTGCAGCAAAGAGTATCCTGTGATCTCGAAGACCATCATGAGACAGAGGTTGGTGTCCGCGCACGGTCAACTCTCCGGAAAATCGGACCTCAGCCCACCTCACGGAAGCCACCAGTCCCTCCACCACTACCAGTACGAGAATGGCGCTCACATGCAGTTTGCCGCCTCAGATGCCCAGGATCTGCCAATTAACACCTTCACGGGACAGAGGGAATCTGGGCTCTTCTACCACTGTCTGAAACGGAGAGGTGAGGCAAGGGAATGGGACTGGGGGAGATCTTTTTGAACAGATTCATGGGGGGATCTTCTGCTGGAGAAGGTCAGACTTGAGGCAGGTCTGGGGTTTTTGACATCCAAGTAAAGAAACGAACTAGGCCTTTGGTTGGTAAGGAGCAGGCTGAAACTTCCGAGGCTTCCTGATTGGCTGCAGAGCCTTGGAAGGGTTCTTGATTGGTTGGGATCATGCTGAACCTTCCCAAGGGTTTCTGATGGGTTGGGATCAGGAACCTCTCCAAGGATCTTCATTAGCTGGGATCGTGCTGGACCTTCCCAAGGGTTCCTGATGGGTTGGGATCGTGCTGAACCTGCCAAAGGTTCTTCATTGGTTGGGATCAGGAACCTCTCAAAAGTTCTTCATTAGCTGGGATCGTACTGGACCTTCCCAAGGATTCCTGATTGGTTGGGATCAGGAACCTCTCAAAGATTCTTCATTAGCTAGGACCTTGCTGGATCTTCCCAAAGGTTCTTGATTGGTTGGGATCAGGAACCTCTCAAAAGTTCTTCATTAGCTGGGATTGTGCTGGATCTTCCCAGAGGTTCTTGATTGGTTGGGATCAGGAACCTCTCAAAGGTTCTTCATTAGCTGGGATCAAGCTGGACCTTCCCAAGGATTCCTGATTGGTTGGGATCAGGAACCTCTCAAAGATTCTTCATTAGCTGGGATCGTGCTGGACCTTCCCAAGGATTCCTGATTGGTTGGGATCAGGAACCTCTCAAAGATTCTTCATTAGCTAGGACCTTGCTGGACCTTCCCAAAGGTTCTTGATTGGTTGGGATCAGGAACCTCTCAAAAGTTCTTCATTAGCTGGGATTGTGCTGGATCTTCCCAGAAGTTCTTGATTGGTTGGGATCAGGAACCTCTCAAAAGTTCTTCATTAGCTGGGATCGTACTGGACCTTCCCAAGGATTCCTGATTGGTTGGGATCAGGAACCTCTCAAAGATTCTTCATTAGCTAGGACCTTGCTGGACCTTCCCAAAGGTTCTTGATTGGTTGGGATCAGGAACCTCTCAAAAGTTCTTCATTAGCTGGGATCGTGCTGGACCTTCCGAAGATTCCTGATTGGTTGAGATCAGGAACCTCTCAAAGATACTTCATTAGCTGGGATCGTGCTGGACCTTCCCAAAGGTTTTTGATTGGTTGGGGTCAGGAACCTCTCAAAAGTTCTTCATTAGCTGGGATCGTACTGGACCTTCCCAAGGATTCCTGATTGGTTGGGATCAGGAACCTCTCAAAGATTCTTCATTAGCTAGGACCTTGCTGGATCTTCCCAAAGGTTCTTGATTGGTTGGGATCGTGCTGAACCTGCCAAAGGTTCTTCATTGGTTGGGATCAGGAACCTCTCAAAAGTTCTTCATTAGCTGGGATCGTACTGGACCTTCCCAAGGATTCCTGATTGGTTGGGATCAGGAACCTCTCAAAGATTCTTCATTAGCTAGGACCTTGCTGGACCTTCCCAAAGGTTCTTGATTGGTTGGGATCAGGAACCTCTCAAAAGTTCTTCATTAGCTGGGATTGTGCTGGACCTTCCCAAGGATTCCTGATTGGTTGGGATCAGGAACCTCTCAACAGTTCTTCATTAGCTGGGATTGTGCTGGATCTTCCCAGAGGTTCTTGATTGGTTGGGATCAGGAACCTCTCAAAGATTCTTCATTAGCTAGAACCTTGCTGGACCTTCCCAAAGGTTCTTGATTGGTTGGGATCAGGAACCTCTCAAAAGTTCTTCATTAGCTGGGATTGTGCTGGACCTTCCCAAGGATTCCTGATTGGTTGGGATCAGGAACCTCTCAACAGTTCTTCATTAGCTGGGATCATACTGGACCTTCCCAAGGATTCCTGATTGGTTGGAATCAGGAACCTCTCAAAGATTCTTCATTAGCTAGGACCTTGCTGGACCTTCCCAAAGGTTCTTGATTGGTTGGGATCAGGAACCTCTCAAAAGTTCTTCATTAGCTGGGATCGTGCTGGACCTTCCCAGAGGTTCTTGATTGGTTGGGATCAGGAACCTCTCAAAGGTTCTTCATTAGCTGGGATTGTACTGAATCTCTCTAAGGGTTCCTCACTGGTTGAGAGTGTGCTTACTATTTAATTTTTGTTTGGCTAGTTCTTGAGCATTAGGAAACTAACCCTGAGCTACTGCAATGAAATTATTTTTAGTAATGAATAAGCAGGATGGAGGAACAGAGAGGCAGATCAGCAATACGGTTACTATGCTGAAAGCAAACGAAATCATTAATATTGCCAGCTCTACTACCCTTTGTCAGAAATAAATTAATTTGCGCCATTCAGTTTCAACATAAGTGAGCCAGTTTGGTGTCACAGTGAAGGTGCTGGCTTAGAAACCAGGAGGCTTTGAATTCTAATTTTACCTTAGCCGTGAAAGCTGGCTGGGTGACTTTGGGCCAATCATCAGGAGACGGTGAGTTCTAGTCCTGCCTTAGGCATGAACGCTGGCTAAGTGACTTTGGGCTAATCAATAGGATACTGTGAATTCTAGTTTTACTTTAGGCGTGAAGGCCGGCTGGGTGACTTTTCGGCCAATCACCAGGAAATGGTGCGTTCTAGTCCCACCTTTTATGCCTTAGGCGTGAAAGCTGACTGGCTTACTTTGGGCCAATCGTCAGGAGACTGTGAGTTCGAGTCCTACCTTAGGCACGGAAACCAGATGGGTAGCTTTTGGGCCAGGTTCTCTGTCTCAACCCAAACTGCATCACAGGGTTATTCTTGTGGGGAAACAGGAGGAGAAAGGAGTTTTAGGCATGTCCACTACTTTGAGTTAACCGTGTGTGTGTGTGTGTGTGTGTGTGTGCGCGCGTGCGCGCATGTGTGTTTGTTTGTGTGTGTGTAAAAAAAAAGGCAGGATACAAATCTAATAATAACAATTTTAAAAAGCATCTTATAACAGTTAACAAAATGTCTTGACCCCAGAACACTGTCAGATAAGAAAGGAGATATTTTCTGAACAACTGGGTTTTTTTCCCTTGTCCTGTTTTTTTTTTTGTTTGTTTGTTTTTTAAACCATTCCTGGAGTAAGCCCTTACTTTTATCTTGCAAGATTTCCCCAGCCTCCTGAATAGGGCTGCTGGCAAATGTAAAACACTTTTGAACACAAGTATCCAAACACTGCAGCATGTTGTAAAAAGTCATGGCTGGATGTAAGAAAGCAGTGGGTCCCCAAGTTACTGAAATTCTCAGCTGATGGAACAAAATCCTGGAAATTAAGATTGATAGGATTAACTAGACCAGAGGGAGGGAACCTTGGCTCTTTTATGACTCGTGGACTTCAACTCCCAGAATCCCTGAGCCAGCATGGCTCAGCATGGAAACCTCTCCCTTTCTCCTCAGCATGGCTGGCTCAGGAATTCTGGGAGTTGAAGTCCATGAGTCATAAAAGAGCCAAGGTTGCCTACTACTGATCTAGGCCAGGGGGAGGGAACCTCGGCTCTTTAATGACTCGTGGACTTCAACTCCCAGAATTCCTGAGCCAGCCACGCTGAGGAGAAATGGAGAGGTTTCTATGCTGAGCCATGCTGGCTCAGGAATTCTGGGAGTTGAAGTCCACGAGTCATAAAAGAGCCAAGGTTGCCTACTACTGAGCTAGACTCTGTCTGTGCTCTGTCTTTTTTTTTTTTTTTTTTTTTTGCTAATGAGGAAAATCCTTTGAGGAAAAATAAATAAAATAAAGGTGGTGAGATTCTGCGCATGTGGAAGTTCCTTAAGCAATTTATTATGTTCCAGATCATTTTTTTAAAAAAAATATCCTACACAGTTAAGGACTAGCAGTAGTTCTTGATCACAACCATTTGTTTAGTGACTGTCCAAAGTTACAATAGCACTGAAAAAAAGTGATTTAAGTCCATTTTCAGCCTTTATGACCATTGCAGCATCTCCCAGGGTCACATGATCAAAATTCGGGCACTGAGCAACTGACTCGTATTTACGACGGTTGCAATGTCCCGGGATCACGTGATTCCCTTTTGCGACCTGACAAGCAAAGTCAATGGGAGAAGTCAGACTCGCTTAACACCCGTACTGCTAACTGAACAGCTGCAGCAAATCCCTTAAGAACTGTGGCAAGCACGGTCGTAAAATTGGCCAAAAAATTATTTAGCAACGGTCTTGCTGAGCTGTGGAAAATTTAGGCTCAGTGAGGTGGTCGTAAGTGAAGGAAGACCTGTTCATTGTAACTTTGAAGGATCATTAAGCGAGCTGTTGTTAAATGAGGACTACCTAGCCCAGAGGTCCCCCAATCTTTTGAGCACCAGGGTCCGGTTCTGTGGAGAGAGGTTTTTCCGCGGACCGGAGGTGCGTGGTTTTGTGTGCTGCCTACATCTCGTGGATGGGGCTTTGCTTGTTTGTGCGGCCCGGTTGCTGGCATGCCGTGGCCTGGTATCGGTCCATGGACCGGGATTGGGGACCCCTGACCTAGCCAATAAGAACCAAGAATTAAAAAAGAATTCTTTGCACTTCCACAGAAGGGGCCCGGCACCTGGACTTACCCTGCAAACGTTCGTATCTGGAACCAACCTCTTCCGCCGGAGAAGACCCCTACTTCCGGTCGCCTCCACCCTACGAACAACAGATGTTGAGTCCCCCGTATTGCGGCGAGGTGACCCCACGAGAAGCATGCATGTACTCCGGGTCTGAAATTGCAGGCGTGTCAGGGGTGGAAGATCTGCCTCCTCCTCCTCCTCCTCCTCCCCCACCTCCTCCCCCACCCCCTCCCCCTCTGAGCTGCAATATGTGGACCTCAGTTGCACCTTACACCAGCTACAGCGTTCAGACCATGGAGACTGTCCCCTACCAGCCCTTCCCTGCTCACTTCACGGCCACCACCATGATGCCACGCCTCCCACCCATAGCCGGTCAAGGATCGCAGACACCGGGCAACAGCCCTTTCGCTGTCTATAATCAGCTCTCCCAACCTCGCGAGAGGATTCCCGGATCGCCCTTCCCCAGAGAACGGATGGGGGAGAGGAAGCTCCCGTCGCCCCACTTAAGCCCGGCCAACGAGTTTCTGTACTCCCAGACTTTCTCTTTGTCCAGGGAATCCTCTTTACAGTATCATTCAGGAGTCAGCACAGTGGACAACTGGACTGACGGATGATTCCACGTGTCGCCACGTGATTTCGATTCGCTGCTCCCGGACGGTTAATTCGGTGTGAATATTCATGGATGCCTTGCACGCCCGCTGCATCTACGCCGACTTGTGTTTCTGTGGGTGTTGGGGACTTTCTGCGCAACGCCAGAGGAACTCTGTTGGGAGGAGCGGTGGGGTCAGTTCGGTGGAAGAGGTTTGGCTTAGCAGCATGGACCCCCTGTCCCAGGGATCCAGTTGGGTATTTGCCTCTTAGAGAACACATTCTTCACTGAGTTCCTTTCAGGTGCAAAGAATTAGGATCACAGGTTAAGTTCCAGTTAAACAGATGTATTGCTCATGCCTACACACCAGAATCTAATTAACTAACATTAACTAAATAGATAAACGTCAACAGCATTCAAGAGGTATTGGGCTTAGACCATTTGTGGGAACGTAACGATTCTAGGCTGATTCCTCTTTTGACTCTGCCTCTCCTTCTCTTCACAGTTCCTAAAATGCTCAAAGCTTCATTTGATTATCTGTCAAAATCAGGGTCTTCTACTCCATCCAAGAAAAGTCGATAGACATAACTTGGGCTCCCAGATGTAAGGGCAGCAAAAAAATCCCACAATTTTTTCCCCTTAGCTGCAGCCGATTTTACCTCTGGTTATTATCACCTACCAACAACAACAACAAAAAAAAAACAAGGCCAGTATTTTTTGCTGGAAATTGCCTAGTGGGGAAAATCAGGATGTCCAGGTAGTTCAAATGAATATAAAGATTTATTGCAGGCTTAAGCTCTCTACAACAATCTGAGCTACTAACGGTCAAAGCAAATGAGCGGTAGAGGAGAGTCAGTGGAATTTAAGGTGGGTTGAACTTACCTCTCTTGTGGGCACGAAGGGACTCCAGATTCATGATGGTGCTTGACCCCCTCCCAGTGGCTCAGCCTTGTCATCTATAACAGAGTTCCTCAATCTTTCCGGCTTGGTGGCCCGGAAGCAAAGGAAGCAGCAGGGAAATGTGAGCGTGTGTGAACCCACTTTGGGTGCCCTTGGTTTGAAGAACAAACAGAACACACACACACACACACACACACACAGAGAGAGAGAGAGAGAGAACTACAATGCACTCCATTCCTGCTTAAACCTAGCCATTTAAGGCAGGGGTCTCCAACCTTGGCAATTTTAAGACTTGTGGACTTCAACTCCCAGAATTCCTCAGCCAGTCCACAAGTTATAAAAGTTGCCAAGGTTGGGGACCTCCGATTTAGGGTGCTAGGATACTGATCATCAAAAAAAAAAAAAAGAAGAGAGGGTGTTTTTAAAACGGAGTTGCTTTTAAAAGTGTTAAATGGTTCTCCTCAAACATTGTGGTGCAAGGTGCCTCCCCCCCAAAAAAAGTACCCAAGACACCAGATTTAATCCCCCCCTCAAAGAACCTCCTGGATTAAACCTAACCCAAGCTGTGTTAAAAAAAAAAAAGGCAGAAATTTGGGCTGCAGCTCTTTGCCTTCCGCGTTCCCAAGAGCAGAAATAAATCAGTGTTTTTCTGCCGTTTTTTTTTTTTTTTTAAAAAATAAGCCAAATTCTTAGCGATGCTAAATTGTCTTGGATAAAACCAAAGAAATATGAGGTCATGTTTTTCTAATTTCCTGGATTGCAGAGAATGGAATTTCCGTCCTTGGGGAAACACCCTGCTAACCCAAGCGACATCTCTTCATCCATCCTTAATCCTGAGGCTCCACCGAGAACCGCAGAAAATTATTCCAGCTAATTATAAATACAGAAGCTGGGAATTTGGAATTTGTCCCTCGGAGATATTATGTAGCCGCCTCAGATTTCCAGCCTGGGTTTGTACCGACATTCCTCAAGTTACGACCACAACTGAGCCCCAAATTTCTGTTGTTAACTGAAACCATTGTTGAGTTTTGCCCCATTTTATGACCTTTTTGTCACAATTGTTAGGCGAATCACTGCAGTTGTTAAGTCAGTAACCTGGCTTCCTCCAGTGACTTCGCTTGTCAGAAGGTTGCAAAAAGAGATCACGTGACCTTGGGACACTGCGACCGTCATAAATACGAGTCAGCTGTCAAGCATCCGAATTTTGATCACGTGACCACAGGGATGCTACAATGGCTGTGCAAAAAAAAAAAAATGGCCGTAAGTCACTTTTTTCACTACTGTGGTAACTTCGAACAGTCACTAAATTAATAGCTGTGAGTCAAGGATTATCTGTATCGGAGAATTGGTTTAAATACTTTTAAAATGTGTTTAACCTTCTCTTTTTCTTGCAGGGAATTAGCCCCGAGGCAAAATCTTTCAAATTCTGAAATGTTGTGGGATGGAATTTTCAAAACTCTCTGCCACTAGAAAGCTAGCACAGCAGGGAACAGATTTTGATGCTTTATCCTGAATTTTACAGAGCATTTTTTTTTTAATCGGGGAACCCCCTCAGAAAAGGTTTCTAGCCAAGAATTTGCCTTACTTTCCATCCGAGCAGTGTGTTAAGCAAGATCAACGCTTAGTAACGATGTTCACATCATAGGTTAAGCCTTAATTAATTTAACTATGGTTAGCAAAATAATCATAGATAGGCTTACACAATGTTTTCAGCTATAAACTCTGGTTTAATAAACAACACAGGCTGCGTTCACATGTCACTCTATCCCAGAAACAAGCCCTGGACGTTTGGTTATGTGGTTTGTGTGAATCCATCTGCGGACTCTTTTGCATTAAGAAATGACCAGGGACAGCCCAGGTGAAGCAGGTAAGAGAGAAAAAAAATCAAGATGGTGGTTAAACAGTGTGACTGAAGCTCCATCCCTTTTTGACGTGGGTTGCACAACGTGGGTGTGAGCGCCATCTTGACTTTTTTGACCTGTCTTGCACAGAGTGGATTCAGTTGATTTATTCCATACCAGTTTGGCATAGTGGTGAAGGCACCAGGTTAAAAACTGTGAGTTCTAGTCCTTCTTAGGTACAAAAGCTGGCTGAGTCACTTTGAGCCAATCACCAGGAGACTGTGAGTTCTAGTACCGCCTTAGACGTGAAAACTGGCTGGGTGACTTTGGGCCAATCACCAGGAGATGGTGAGTTCTAGTCCTGTCTTAGGCATGAAATCCAGCTGGGTGACTGGGCCAATCACCAGGAGATTGAGAGTTCTAGTCCCATTTTAGGCTTGAAAACCAGCTGGGTGACTTTGAGCCAATCACCAGGAGACGGTGAGTTCTAGTCCTGTCTTAGGCATGAAATCCAGCTGGGTGATTGGGCCAATCACCGGGAGATTGAGAGTTCTAGTCCTGCTTTAGGCATGAAAACCAGCTGGGTTACTTTGGGCCAATCACCAGGAGACGGTGAGTTCTAGTCCTGTCTTAGGCATGAAAACCAGCTGGGTGACTTTGAGCTAGTCGCTCTCTCTCAGCCCTACCCACTTCACACGGTTCTTGTTATGGGGAAAATAGAAGTAGGAACGGATATCTGGTTGCTTTCCACCTTGCGTTATTTATAAAAATAACAAAGGCAGTATAAAAATAAATAAATAAATAAACAAAATACATGTGTAGTAGGGATCTTCAGCGCTCAGAAAACCATACCAGTCGAACAATACTCTTCAAAGCATCCAACATATGGTAGCTTGACTGGAATTACTCTCATTCCTGGCTTTTAAAGAAGAATTAAAGAATACATGATCTAAGCAACTTTTGAACTTCTTAAAAATTCCAACTTTTATCAAGTTTTTGTTTGAGGGGGGAGGTCACCCAGATTGATTCAGTTCACCCTTTCACAGGAATCTGTATAGTAAGGAATAAGTTAGCAACAGAAAGTACTCTTTTTTTGTGGGGGGGGGAAAGGATTTTTTTTAAAAAAAGTCATTTTCCTGTCATCAAGGTTGCTAAAGAAAAGTTTATTTTTCATACAGAAGATTTTTAAAAAGAAAATAATGATCAAAATTGGGGCATCACCGCCAATGTTGCATGCTGAATAGTTATTTATATACCTATATATCTTTATATAAAAATATGTATTATCTTTCTCACAAACGCAGGCCCACGTGTTCCATTCAGCTTTGCTCTTTGTACGATAAAATTCCTAGTAAAAGAATGAAATGTTGCAAGGAGATTTTTTAAAAAAATAAATAAATAAATAAAAAGAGAGCTATTTAAGGATTCCCCCTCCCCCCCCATTATTATTTACACCATTCTCTGTTGTAAAAACTTAAGATTTGGTTACATAACATATATATGCTACAGATAAATCTCTATTAGAAACCAAAAGAGATTTTTGTTCGTTTTTTCTTTTAAAAAAAACACTGTTATAATATGAACCTTTTATTTTGCATATCGGCACATAAAAATAACTGCTAAAAATTGTCTACGGGTAGCTTTCACTGACTAAAAGGTAGATTCTGGGGTTGCGGTTACTCAATGGAAACTTCCTTGAGTGAATTTTGTTTTTATTAAAAAAAACCGAACCATTGGGGAGTTCGCTTGTAATGTGCAGGACTGTTTGTTCTGGTCCTCGACTTACGACCACAATTGGGATCAGAATTTTGATTGCTAAACAAGGTGGTTTTAAGTGAATCGCATCTGATTTTACAACCTTTTTTTTTGCCACCGTTTTGAACAAATCACTGCAGTTTTTAAGCCAGGGATAGGCAACCTCGGCTCTTTTCAGACTCGTGGACTTCAACTCCCGGAATTCCTGAGCCAGCATGGCTCTGCTTGGAAACCTCTCCATTTCTCCTCAGCATGGCTGGCTCAGGAATTCTGGGAGTTGAATTCCACGAGTCATAAAAGAGCCCAGGTTGCCTACCCCTGGGCTAGGGCAAGGGTCTTCAAACTTGGCCTTTTATGACTCATGGACTTCAACTCCCAGAATTCCTGAGCCGGCATGGCTCAGGATGTTAATCTCTCCATTTCTCCTCAGCATGGCTGGCTCAGGAATTCTGGGAGTTGAAGTCCACCAGTCATAAAAGGGCCAAGGTTGCCTACCCTTGTTTTAAGCGAACCATACGGTCGTTAAGTGAATCCAGCTTCCCCTTTAACCCCTCTACTTGTCGGAAGCCAGCTGGGAAGGTCGCAAAAGGAGATCACATGACCCCGGGACACTGCGACCCCGGGACACTGAGACCGTCATAAATATGGGTTGCCCAACGCCAGAATTTTGATCCTGTGACCTTGGGGAAAATGCTGCCATGGTCGCAAGTGAGAAAAACGGTCCTAAGTCACTTTTTTCAGTGCGAACGGTCACTAAAGAAAATAAGTTGAGGACTACCTGTATTAAAGCCGATGGTGGAGGACTTACAAATAGTCCTCGACTTACGACAACAATTGGCACCAGAATTTTCATTGCTAAGCAAGACGGTGGTTAAGTGACACCCAATTTTATGAAGGTTTTTGGCTAGGGCTATTAAATGAACCAATGCAGTTAAGCGACTCATGCAGTCATTAAATGAATCCAGCTTCCCCCTCCCCCCCAACTTTGCTTGTTGGAAGCCAGCTGGAAGCTTGCAGATGTGGAACACATGACGGCAGGATGCTGCAATGATCACAAATACATGCCAGTTGCCAGGCGCCCCAATTTTTTTCTTGTGATCATTGGATTACATCATAAGCACAAGGACCCCGTCATAAGTCCCTTTTTCAGCACTGTTGTAACTTTGAATAGTCACTAAACAAACAACAGTAAGAATAGAATAGAAATAGAATAGAATAGAATAGAATAGAATAGAATAGAATAGAATAGAATAGAATAGAATAGAATCTTTATTGAGAACAGAATAGAATCTTTATTTAGAATAGAATAGAATAGAATAGAATAGAATAGAATCTTTATTGAGAATAGAATAGAATCTTTATTGAGAATAGAATAGAATAGAATAGATTAGAATAGAATCTTTATTGAGAATAGAATAGAATCTTTATTTAGAATAGAATAGAAAATAGAATAGAATAGAATAGAATCTTTATTGAGAATAGAATAGAATAGAACAGAACAGAATATTTAGAATAGAATAGAATAGAATAGAATAGAATCTTTATTGAGAATAGAATAGAATCTTTATTGAGAATAGAATAGAATAGAATAGATTAGAATAGAATCTTTATTGAGAATAAAATAGAATCTTTATTTAGAATAGAATAGAAAATAGAATAGAATAGAATAGAATCTTTATTGAGAATAGAATAGAATAGAACAGAACAGAATATTTAGAATAGAATAGAATAGAATAGAATAGAATAGAATAGAATAGAATAGAATAGAATAGAATAGAATAGAAGACTCCTGCGAGTCCCTTGGACTGCAAGGCGTTCAAACCGGTCAGTCCTAGAAGAGATCAACCCCGACTGCTCTTTAGAAGGCCAGATCCTGAAGTTGAAACTCAAATACTTTGGCCACCTAATGAGAAGGGAGGACTCACTGGAGAAGAGCCTGATGCTGGGAAAGATGGAGGGCAATAGAAGAAGGGGACGACAGAGAATGAGGTGGCTGGATGGAGTCACTGAAGCAGTAGGTGTGAACATAAATGGACTCCAGAAGATGGTAGAGGACAGGAAGACCTGGAGGAACATTGTCCATGGGGTCGCGATGGGTCGGACACTACTTCACAATTAACAACAACAACAAAGAATAGAATAGAAAATAGAATAGAATAGAATCTTTATTGAGAATAGAATAGAATAGAATAGAATAGAATAGAAAATAGAATAGAATAGAATAGAGTTTTTATTTAGAATAGAATAGAATAGAATAGAATCTTTACTGAGAATAGAATAGAATAGAATCTTTATTGAGAATAGAATAGAATTAGAACAGAACAGAATAGAATAGAAGCTGGGAGGGACCTTGGAGGTCTTCTAGTCCAGCCCCAGCTTGAGCAGGAGAACCTATACTGTTTCAGACAAGTGACTGTCCAGTCTCTTCTTAAAAATCTCTAGTGATAAGAGTGTCCACGATTTCTGGGGGCA